TCGCATATGATCCGACTATAGCCAAATTGTTTTCTTGATACTAAACTGAGATTTGCCTTTCACCTGGTTTTCGCAAGCAGCTCGTCTCTCTCTTGCTTACTCTTTGCTGCAGTTGATACTCGAAAATCATTCTTGTTCAGGAATCATGCAGAAACAGAGTGTAATGTATCCGTCAAAAGACGCTACAGATGCCGAGCCACTGGATTTGACTTTACCAAAGCATGAAAGGTAGAAATGAGATGTACTTACTGTATTATTCTGAATTATGTTTCATAGTTTACATTCACTTTTGCTTTTATAACCGAAGTTTTCCGTACGTCAATCTTAGTCAGTTGAGGATTCATTAGAGGTTTATACAAACATGGAATAACTCAACAAATTTGGTACTACTCAAGATCTCTTTTTTCTACTTTGGTTTCAAATTTCTTCCATATATAAATTGTCCACCATAGCAATACTTATTTTTAGAATTCCTGAATCCTCTGAAGAATTTACCACACTTGCCCTTCATGAAGAGATTGGTGGGCAACTACTTATGAAGCTGTTCCAACAGCAAATACTGCTCTCCATGTTACCAAAACCTGATGCAGTTGAAACGAAAGGACGCGTTTACTGTAAATCAAAAGAGAGGAGAATAAAGTCGCATTTGGAAAAGGAAGATGTTGTGGTCAATATTCGAAGGTGATACTTGTCTTACAATGTACAAAAATAGTGTATTGACAGTATTGTAATCGGCAATTATTTTTAATAAGATCAACTCTAGATCCGAGGCAAATGCACGCGAAAGGAATCGTGTTCAGCACTTGGCCGATATGTTTGATAGACTTCGTTCAGTATTGCCAATAGAAGATGATGTAAAAATCTCAAAATTAGCTACATTAAAGGTGCGAGTTTAAAACCCTGAAGACTTCTCCGAGAATTAGTTGTGACAGTCTACCTTTTCTCTTGATTAAACGTATGATTAGTAAAAGATACTGTCCAATAGTACTTATACATTGAACAAATTCTTTGTTGATTGATTCTTGTAAAACTCATTTTGGGGTCTGTGATTCTTCCATGCTCTTTAATTTGTTCTTTGACATTGCTATCTTTCCACAAATTCTACAGAAATTCACAAATTCTGTCAAAAGGAGTCTACAATAATCAAAAATCCTCACTTCAGATTGCATCAGCTTACATCCGCTACTTGGGCTGT